AAGTGAGCCATGGGTAAGTAATGCAGTCATTTTTTCTTGGCGGTCCTTTAACGTGCATGCCCTGCCGTATGGGTGGGAGTGGGGGGAGGATAAACTTTCTAATCAGGTGCAGCAGAACATTTTTCAGTGATGAGTTGAAGTCATATGTACGTGAAGGAATATTAACGGAGCTGATTTTATGCGAAAGTCAAGGAAATGGTGGATATCCAAAATATGTACAAGACGCATTGAAACAAAGGATTACGCAGGTACGATAGCAACTCCCTCTTTACTGCTCCTATGCCCATGTCACGGCACCTGGAGGTAGGCGTGTCCACGGAGTCAGCTGTGATACTATGAACTGTTGCCGGTTCGGGCGGAAACGCTGGAAGCCTAAGCATACGAGGGCGCAGGCGATCCAAGAAGACACTGACGCGCCTCTTAATTCTTTCTGCCTAAAATAGCAGCTACTCATCCATCACCACGCTCACAACTTATTCCGTAGACACGCCCTCTTCAGGCGTCGTCTGCATCTGGACTGTATTTTGTTGAAGTTACGAGGCTCTTAGACACCTTATATATTTTGAGGTATGTGAATTCCTGACAGCTGCTTCCGAAGTGCCCTCACGAGTATTCATTTGTGGCGATGCTAAAGGAATGTCAAAGGGTGTATGGCAGTGTTTCCACGATATCGTCAAGGAAGGAATGGGTTAGTTCCTAATTCCTTATAGGAGATAGATTACTTTCTGATGCCGTCCGTTTTATAGCAACCTTCACTTTCTCCTAGCAGAGTGATGAGTTGATCGCTGCGAAGGGAGCCTCTTCGTTCGATTCAAAAGGGTTTGGTGCCTTCCACTCAATTTCTTGCCGCAAAGCCATCATGTTGCGGTTCGAAGGCTGCACGCGAGTTGTGTGTGAGGAGGAGTTCCACGTATAACGTCATTGTTGGAACAGAGTTTGGCGAAGATCCCTCTGCGCTGCGGGACATCACACCTTCCCATCAGTGATTTTGAAGTGATGCCTGCCCCTT